CTGTCTCTTATACACATCTAGATGTGTATAAGAGACAGGTCTACAGCTAAGCTTCCAGAACTCACTAAGACTCCTACGCTATAGACCTACAGATTGAACCCCTGCTGTCTATGGACCTACGACAGGTCTACCAACTGCCTACGAATACACAGGTCACAGGTTCAATTCTCGGGGTCTACACAGATACTGTACATGGGTAGGGTGAGGTCTAGGGATCGAACCCTGGGTACTGCATCCGCTACTGCTAAAAGGTGAAAACCGTTTCAGTATATAGTAGGAAAGAGATAGGAAGAGGGGATACGAGGATGAGGCAGAGCCAGGAAGAGGCGACAGGAGAGAGAGAGGAGGAGGAGGAGGAGATTCGAGGCAGCAGTGAGAGGAGAAAGGTTGCGTCAGTCCGGTGCCAGATGCACATCCAACCAATCAATGAAGGCAAGCAGCGAAGCAAGCGGAAGGGCCTCGCTCCAGTACACAACACTCTAAATGCATTTGTACACTTTCTGGACCCAATACAATGAAAATGTTGCCATCTTCTGAATAGAGTGCTATTTAGTGGAGATACGGCTACAGTAGGAGGAGAATGTAGGTTGTGTCAGTTCCACTGGATTGTCTAATGGGCCCAGCAACGAACTCAGACAGCAAACAGCAACACACAGGCAGAAAAGTGAATCTCGTAAAGGAGACAGCACTTCGAAGCAAAAAGGCAAAGGTCAAGAAAACTGAAACAGAAGCTCATTTCGATTCCTCGTCACATCTTTTTTTTTTTTTTTTTTTTTTTTTTTTACCACTAATACCTTTGTCGGTTCAAAATACTGGGCCTCCGACCTTCCTGGAGGCCGAAACGAAATGAAGGCCGCCGATCAGATTTATCAATGGCAGCCGTTGTCGGGCCGAGCCTCCTAAAAGTTCGGGAGCTGGCAAGAACTCGTCGAAACCGGACGCCAAAGGTACTAGTGGTTTAACATAGCCCTTGCATAAGCCCTCCGTTCCGGCGGTGGTAAGAGAACCGTCAGAATTGAGGGCTTATCTGTTGGGCGGCTCCATCTATTGGTGGGAGCTGCACCTGCTGGAAACCGGGTCCAGCATCTTTTTTTACATATCATCAGAACCAGATCACCGTGCTGGAAACCGGGTCCAGCGTCCCATGGTAGCCTTCACCTGGCAGGGTATCAGAGGGAGCCACTGGGGGGGCACCAGCGGGTCTTTCCTAGCCCGCCAGGATCAACTGGCCTCTGAGCCGTCCTCGAGCTACCTATGCAAGGGATCTTTGTGCTGAGAGCCATGCTCATCCTCCATTTTACCCACTACTCGTGCTGGGAACCTGGCTCATCGTCCCTTGAATTCCTAAGTTGAACCACTGTCCTGGAAAATGGGTCCAGCGTCCCATGGCTAGGTGAGGGGAGGGGGAGGGGGAGGGGGGGGTCTCAAGCTGCCCCTTGCACTGTGCTGGAGAACGGGTCCAGCGTCCCTGGCTACGTGGGGGAAGGGGGGCGTCTCAGGCTGCCCCTTGCTCGGCTTCCATTAGAGCAAGCGGGTGTGGGGGGAAGGGGTCTGGGAACTCCACTGCGGGTCTCAGCTGGATTCCGGGATCAACCACAGTCCAGTCTCGAAAGACTAATCTGTAGTCCCTAGGAGCCTCCTCCCCTACATCCCCCTGTTCCTCCTCCAAACCCGTTGTTGGGGAACATCGCCGGACCATGTCACATCTGCCATCCACCCCCCCCTGCTGCCTCCCAGCCATTCCTTGCAGAAGGTTGAAATGATCTAGCCTATGTCCCGCCTCGTGTGGTCGATCAGCCAGTCGTTAGTTCGGAGGCAGCGATGGGCAATTTGCCATTGGAGGACTGGGATCTTTGCCGGCCTTAGCCTCACCTCCCGGAACCATTTGATGGGGCGGAGGAGGAGCCGATCAATGTCCAGGTAGCGCTGCCATCTATCCTCTATCCTGTCCCGGAGCTCCCTCTCGGGCAACAGAGTTCTGTATGGCTTTTTGGCCTTCATGTCAACCAGAGCCAGCGACCGCTGTGTGGTCCCATCCCTCCTTTCGCCCCTGGCCCACCGCCACTAAGCGGGGTCTAAAGACCTGCTCTGTGATTGGCGTCATCGGTTGGAAGGCCCTCCAATCGTCTCCAATATTCAGGACTGTGATGAGGTAGACAGCGGACCTGTCCATCCATACAAAGGGTTGTCTGCTCCATATCAAGTGGTTTTTCCTACCCAGGCTATATCTTTCTACAAGGACCTCATTACGCTCCTCCATGTGCACCAGTCCGACTCTACCCCTATCCCCTGGAATTCCAACCCAGTCCCCTTCTTTCAGCTTCGGGCCCTTTCTGAGTATGTCATACCATTCCAGCGGAAAGTTCTCAGTCATTTGCCCCAGCGCCTCTTCCGTGTGGGGGCAGTAGCGCAACCATCGTTTCATTCTTTCCGTGGGAGTCTGTGATCCGTCTGTTACCAAAGAACGATTACCTGAACACCTCTTCCCATCGGTCCGGGGATGGCCTATCCGGTATCGGGAGTCTCCTCCAGGTCTTAAGGAGGTGGACCCCAAAGACATCTACCAAGCCTACGCCCCTGTATACCCAGGGTATCCTCCAGTACCTGTCCTCGAGCCAAACCAAAGGATCGACCTCCGGGGGGGGCAGAGGGGCAAGGGCCACGATCTGTGCCAATGCTAACGGGCGCTAGGGAGTTTTGGTTAAAGATTATGAGCAAGATCCCCGGTAGGCTTAGGGCCTGGAACTCCGTGGTCGGGTCTATAATACCCAACCCACATTTAGCCTTGGGTTGAATTATCGATTCTCATGCCATCGCATGGGAGGATTCACTATCCCCTCTCCATAGGACGGCCCCTATTTGCCTCTTCAAGACAAAGTCCCATCTCACTTAGTGGCCATAGAACTGATTTGTACCATAAGGATGCCAACATCGCATTATTAATAACCAGGGATCTACCGAAAATTGAGGTGTGCCACCCGTTCCAAGCCGCCATTTTGGTTCTGACTGGGTTCGCCACCCAGTCGTCGTTGGTCGTCAGTTTACCCTTGGCTGATAGAGATGCTGCAAGGACTCTCAACGGAACCTCCGGGGGTAGCCATGTAATGCGTGGTCTCTCCGGAGGTCTCCCACCCTGGTGGTGCAGCCACCAGCCCACCGTTTTCCGTCCTCAATTAACTACCATGTCTGATAGCCGAAAGAACCGTTCCATCAAGGCTTGCAATGCCTCCTAGTTCTGTGCGCATGCCTCCATCACGATCGGAGAGCATACTGGGATCACCTCATCGGGGATCCACGTTATCCTGACCCTCCTAATGTCCTTGTGGCTTCGCAGATTAGCTGATAAGGCCTCCATTATGACTAAGAAAGATTAAGGAGCAATCGGGTCCCCTGGCCTGACCGACTGCTGGAGTGGGAACTTGGGGGCCACAGTGCCGTTGACTTGAACACTTGTGGTCGCGTTCTCATCGAGGATCCTTACCCACGTCAAAAGGCCAGACCAACATTCATCTTTTCCATACACTTACCTAGGAACTGCCAATCCACAGGGTTGTAAGAACCCCTTGTCCCCTTTCTTATACAGGAGCGTAAGAACCCCTTGTCCAACCACTTCCCCCCATGCCCACAAGTCGGAACTCAGGATTGGCCTCATGGACTCCCAAACTCCTTGGGGAACCCATCAATGCCCGGGGTCTTCCCTTCATCCATTTGGAGCAGCGCTGTCCATAACTCTTGCTTCGCCAGCGGAGCATCCAGACTTTCCTTTTGCTGTGTCGACAATGCTCTCTCCATAGGTTTAAGAAAGTCGTCCAGATCCCTCTTCCTTACTTTGCTTTGTGGGTCAGCTACCTGAGACGTGTATAGCTTCTGAAAGAACGTCCTAGTGACCTGGGTGCAATACGTCGTGGAAGTGGCCAAACTGTCATCCCCTTTATCCAAATCGAAGAGGGCTTCGATAACGGTTCGCCCTGTTCTGGCCGAAGCCATGCCGGAAAATATTGTGTCCATGGTAGCGTCCTGGTTAAGATGGGCTAATTTACTGCGTATGCTGAGTCCTTGCCATCTTCGCTGCGCGAATAGCAGCAACCATTGAATGTTCCCTCCTTGAGCTTGTGAATCTGCCTGTTGCTCCAGGTCATGGATCTTCCTGTGGGTCTCTAACTCCTGCCTGTTCCTCTGCTCTGCTCGTTATTTCGAATATTCCTTGCATTGCCTTGCGAGGTAGTACAAGCCGTTATTGAACCATTCTAGTTCTGAGTCGAATTGTGGTTTTTGCTGCTGCCACAATCGCCATGTGTCCTTGATAAGGGGTTGGAAGTGTCTGCCAGGTATAAGGGATATATTAAACCACCAGTACTTGGCCCAACTATCAAGTCCGAGCATCGGCCGACTGGTATGCCGAGCCTTGCCGAGGCTTGAACTACGGGGCGCTAACTTTCCAAACGTGCTTGGAGAAGAACACGGAATAAAGAACAGAAAAAAAAAAAAAAAAACAAAATGCAAAAAGCATCGACAGAAAAACTGGACTTACTGTAAAAAACATGGAAAAAAGAAAAAAAAAACAGTTACGACCTCCTCGGCATGCACAAAAGACAATAATCAAGGCAGTGTATCTTCGCATGTTCTAGCGGAAGATTCACTCTCGTTTTTGTTTTCCGAAAAGAGAGAGAGAGAGAGAGAGAGAGAGAAGGGGGGGCGGGGGGGGGG